GGGCTATAGGGGCTATAGGGGACAGGACCCCTATAGACCCACGGGGGGGGGGCCAGGCCCCTATAGGGGACCGTGTGACCCCTATAGGGCCCCGCATTGGGGGCCGTACAGTCCCTATAGGTCACAGGGAGGCCCTATGGCTCCTGTAGAGCCCACAGCGAGGCTTGTATGGCACCTATAGGATCCATAGGGTGCCACAGGGTGCCAGGGGTGCCCATAGCATCTATAGGCTCCCATAGGATCCCACAGGTGGGTATAGGAGCCATAGGGTCCCACAGGGTGCCAGGGGTGCCCATAGCATCTCTAGGGTCCCACAGGTGTGCATAGGACCCAAAGGGTCCCATAGGGTCCCAGGGGTGCCCATAGGATCTATGGGGTCCTATAGGGTCCCAGGAGTGCTTATAGGACCTATGGGGTCCCAGGGGTGCCTATAAGATCTGTGGGGCCCCAGGGGGTCCCAGGGGGTCCCAGGGGTGCCCATAGGTTCTATGGGGTCCTATAGGGTCCCAGGAGTGCTTATAGGATCTATGGGGTCCTATAGGGTCCCAGGAGTGCTTATAGGATCTATGGGGTCCTATAGGGTCCCAGGAGTGCTTATAGGATCTATGGGGTCCTATAGGGTCCCAGGAGTGCTTATAGGATCTATGGGGTCCTATAGGGTCCCAGGAGTGCTTATAGGATCTATGGGGTCCTATAGGGTCCCAGGAGTGCTTATAGGACCTATGGGGTCCCAGGGGTGCCCATAGGATCTATAGGGTCCCATAGGGTCCCACAGGGTGCCAGGGGTGCCCATAGCATCTATAGGCTCCCATAGGATCCCACAGGTGTGTATAGGATCCATAGGGCCCCACAGGGTGCCAGGGGTGCCCATAGCATCGTGCGTGGGGCCCCGGGTGCCTATGGGATCCATAGGTACCTTGGCGTAGCAGCGCTCCATGTGCCTGAGGGCCACCTTGGGGTTGATGGGGTGGCCGCAGGAGACGCAGAAGATCTGCAGGTCCGTGTCCTCGCTGTCACCCTCCGTGCTCTTCCCAAAGGGTCCCATAGGGTCCCAGGGGTGCCCATAGGATCTATAGGGTCCCATAGGGTTCCACAGGGTGCCAGAGGTGCCTATAGGATCTGTAGAGTCCCAGGAGGGCCCATAGGATCTACAGGGTCCCACAAGTGTGTATAGGATCCATAGGATCCCACAGGGTGCCAGGGGTGCCTATAGGATCCCACAAGTATCTATAGGTTCCCACAGATGCCTATAGGATCCACAGGGTCTCATGGGGTCCCAGGGGTGCCCATAGGATCTATAGGGTCCCATGGGGTCCCACAGGTGAGTATAGGATCCATAGGGTCCCACAGGGTGCCAGGAGTGCCTATAGGATCTGTAGGGTCCCAGGAGCGCCTATAGGATCTATAGGGTCCCACAGGTGCATATAGGATCCACAGGGTCCCACAGGGTGCCAGGGGTTCCATAGGGTCCCACAGGTGCATATAGGATCTATAGGGTCCCATAGGATCCCAGGAGAGCCCATAGGATCTATAGGTTCCCACAGGTGTGCATAGGACCCAAAGGGTCCCATAGGGTCCCAGGGGTGCCCATAGGATCTATAGGGTCCCATAGGGTTCCACAGGGTGCCAGAGGTGCCTATAGGATCTGTAGAGTCCCAGGAGGGCCCATAGGATCTACAGGGTCCCACAAGTGTGTATAGGATCCATAGGATCCCACAGGGTGCCAGGGGTGCCTATAGGATCCCACAAGTATCTATAGGTTCCCACAGATGCCTATAGGATCCACAGGGTCTCATGGGGTCCCAGGGGTGCCCATAGGATCTATAGGGTCCCATGGGGTCCCACAGGTGAGTATAGGATCCATAGGGTCCCACAGGGTGCCAGGAGTGCCTATAGGATCTGTAGGGTCCCAGGAGCGCCTATAGGATCTATAGGGTCCCACAGGTGCATATAGGATCCACAGGGTCCCACAGGGTGCCAGGGGTTCCATAGGGTCCCACAGGTGCATATAGGATCTATAGGGTCCCATAGGATCCCAGGGGTGCTCATAGGATCTCTAGGCTCCCATAGGGTCCCACAGGGCGCCAGGGGTGCCTATAGGATCTGTAGGGTCCCAGGAGCACCTATAGGATCTCTAGGGTCCCATAGGGTCCCACAGGGTCTCAGGGGTCCCACGGGGTCCCAGGGGTGCCCATAGGATCTATGGTGTCCTATAGGGTCCCAGGAGTGCTTATAGGACCTATGGGGTCCCAGGGGTGCCTATAAGATCTATAGGGTCCCAGGGGTGCCCATAGGATCTATGGGGTCCTATAGGGTCCCAGGAGTGCTTATAGGACCTATGGGGTCCCAGGGGTGCCTATAAGATCTATGGGGTCCCAGGGGTGCCTATAGGATCTATGGGGTCCCAGGGGTGCCCATAGGATCTATGGGGTCCCAGGGGGTCCCAGGAGTGCTTATAGGATCTATGGGGTCCCAGGAGTGCCCATAGGATCTATGGGGTCCTATAGGATTCCAGGAGTGCTTATAGGATCTATGGGGTCCCAGGGGTGCCTATAAGATCTATGGGGTCCCAGGGGTGCCCATAGGATCTATGGGGTCCTATATGGTCCCAGGAGTGCTTATAGGATATATGGGGTCCCAGGGGTGCCTATAGGATCTATGGGGTCCCAGGGGTGCCCGTAAGATCTATGGGGTCCCAGGGGGTCCCAGGAGTGCTTATAGGATCTATGGGGTCCCAGGGGTGCCTATAAGATCTATGGGGTCCCAGGGGTGCCCATAGGATCTATGGGGTCCCATAGGGTTCCACAGGGTGCCAGAGGTGCCTATAGGATCTGTAGAGTCCCAGGAGGGCCCATAGGATCTACAGGGTCCCACAAGTGTGTATAGGATCCATAGGATCCCACAGGGTGCCAGGGGTGCCTATAGGATCCCACAAGTATCTATAGGTTCCCACAGATGCCTATAGGATCCACAGGGTCTCATGGGGTCCCAGGGGTGCCCATAGGATCTATAGGGTCCCATAGGGTTCCACAGGGTGCCAGAGGTGCCTATAGGATCTGTAGAGTCCCAGGAGGGCCCATAGGATCTACAGGGTCCCACAAGTGTGTATAGGATCCATAGGATCCCACAGGGTGCCAGGGGTGCCTATAGGATCCCACAAGTATCTATAGGTTCCCACAGATGCCTATAGGATCCACAGGGTCTCATGGGGTCCCAGGGGTGCCCATAGGATCTATAGGGTCCCATAGGGTTCCACAGGGTGCCAGAGGTGCCTATAGGATCTGTAGAGTCCCAGGAGGGCCCATAGGATCTACAGGGTCCCACAAGTGTGTATAGGATCCATAGGATCCCACAGGGTGCCAGGGGTGCCTATAGGATCCCACAAGTATCTATAGGTTCCCACAGATGCCTATAGGATCCACAGGGTCTCATGGGGTCCCAGGGGTGCCCATAGGATCTATGGGGTCCCAGGGGGTCCCAGGAGTGCTTATAGGATCTATGGGGTCCCAGGGGTGCCTATAAGATCTATGGGGTCCCAGGGGTGCCTATAGGATCTATGGGGTCCCAGGGGTGCCCATAGGATCTATGGGGTCCCAGGGGGTCCCAGGAGTGCTTATAGGATCTATGGGGTCCCAGGGGTGCCTATAAGATCTATGGGGTCCCAGGGGTGCCTATAGGATCTATGGGGTCCCAGGGGTGGGGGGCGGGGGGGGGGGTGGGGGGGGCTGCAGGGTGGGATACACTGGGATCCCACACAGGACCTACTGGGATCCACTGGGATCCAGGGCAGAACCCACTGGGATCCAGAACAGGGATCTACTGGGATCCAGAACAGGGATCTACTGGGATCCAGTGGAACCCAGGGCTGGGCCTACTGGGATCCAGGCTTGGATCCACTGGGATCCAGAAGAGGGATCTACTGGGATCCAGGGCTGGGCCTACTGGGATCCACTGGGACCCAGAAGAGGGATCTACCGGGATCCAGAAGAGCGATCCACTGGGATCCAGAGGAGGGATCTACTGGGATCCACTGGGATCCAGGGCAGGACCCACTGGGATCCAGAAGAGGGATCTACTGGGATCCAGGGCAGGACCCACTGGGATCCAGAAGAGGGATCTACTGGGATCCAGTGGGACCCAGGGCTGGGCCCACTGGGATCTGGAACAGGGATCCACTGGGACCCAGGGCTGGGCCCACTGGGGTGCAGAAGAGGGATCTACTGGGATCCAGGGATGGGCCTACTGGGATCCACTGGGACCCAGAAGAGCGATCCACTGGGATCCAGAGGAGGGATCTACTGGGAGCCAGTGGGACCCAGAGTTGGGTCTACTGGGATCCACTGGGATGCAGGGCAGGACCCACTGGGATCCAGAACAGGGATCAACTGGGATCCAGGGCAGGACCCACTGGGATCCAGAAGAGGGATCTACTGGGATCCACTGGGATCCACGGCTGGGCCTACTGGGATCCACTGGGACCCAGAAGAGGGATCTACTGGGATCCAGTGGGACCCAGGGCTGGGCATACTGGGATCCACTGGGATCCAGGCTTGGATCCACTGGGATCCAGAAGGGGGATCTACTGGGATCCACTGGGACCCAGAGTTGGGTCTACTGGGATCCACTGGGATGCAGGGCAGGACCCACTGGGATCCAGAACAGGGATCAACTGGGATCCAGGGTGGGATCCCCTGGGGGGTACCCTCTGACTGGGACCCCGGGGGGATCCCCAACACCCCGGGATCTGCGAAGGATCCAGTGACCCGCGCGGGGTTCCGGTGTGAACTGGTCCGTACTGGTCTGTACTGGTCCGAACTGGTTTCTACTCACATGGCAGCGAGCTGGACACCACCCCCCTCCCCCCCCCCGAGCTTGGTGAGGGGGACACCACAGGGGTCTGTTGCACTCTCCAAGGTTTCATACTGGTTTATACTGGTCTGTACTGGCTTCTACTGCTCCTTACTGGTTTCTACTGGTCTATACTGGTCCACACTGGTGTATACCCACCTGACATCCAGCTCAACACCACCACCCCCCCCCAGTGCTTGGATGACGGGGACACCACAGGGGTCTATCGCCCTCCCCGCTACTCCCTACTGGTTTCTACGGGTCTGTACTGGTTTCTACTGGTCTATACTGGTTTCCTACTGGTCCACACTGGTGTATACCCACCTGACATCCAGCGGGGATCTACTGGGATCCACTGGGACCCAGAGTTGGGTCTACTGGGATCCACTGGGATGCAGGGCAGGACCCACTGGGATCCAGAACAGGGATCAACTGGGATCCAGGGTGGGATCCCCTGGGGGGTACCCTCTGACTGGGACCCCGGGGGGATCCCCAACACCCCGGGATCTGCGAAGGATCCAGTGACCCGCGCGGGGTTCCGGTGTGAACTGGTCCGTACTGGTCTGTACTGGTCCGAACTGGTTTCTACTCACATGGCAGCGAGCTGGACACCACCCCCCTCCCCCCCCCCGAGCTTGGTGAGGGGGACACCACAGGGGTCTGTTGCACTCTCCAAGGTTTCATACTGGTTTATACTGGTCTGTACTGGCTTCTACTGCTCCTTACTGGTTTCTACTGGTCTATACTGGTCCACACTGGTGTATACCCACCTGACATCCAGCTCAACACCACCACCCCCCCCCAGTGCTTGGATGACGGGGACACCACAGGGGTCTATCGCCCTCCCCGCTACTCCCTACTGGTTTCTACGGGTCTGTACTGGTTTCTACTGGTCTATACTGGTTTCCTACTGGTCCACACTGGTGTATACCCACCTGACATCCAGCTCAACACCACCACCCTCCCCCCAGGGCTTGGATGACGGGGACACCACAGGGGTCTATCACTCTCCCCGCTACTCCCTACTGGTTTCTACCACTCCATACTGGTTTCTACTGGTCTATACTGGTTTCTACTGGTCTATACTGGTTTCTACAGGTCTGCATTGGTTTATACTGGTCCATACTGGTGTATACCCACCTGACATCCAGCTTGACACCACAACCCTCCTCCCAGGGCTTGGATGACGGGGACACCACAGGGGTCTATCGCCCTCCCCGATACTCCCTACTGGTTTCTACCACTCCGTACTGGTTTCTACTGGTCTATACTGGTTTCTACTGGTCCACGCTGGTGTATAGTCACCTGACATCGAGCTCAACACCACCATCTTCCCCCCAGTGCTTGGATGATGGGGACACCACAGGGGTCTATCACCCTCCCCGCTACTCCAAACTGGTTTCTACTGGTCCGTACTGGGCTCCACCGCTCTGTAGTGGTTTCTACTGGTCTGTGTTGGTTTATACTGGTCTATACTGGTATATACTCACCTGACATCCAGCTCAACACCACCACCCTCCCCCCAGGGCTTGGATGACGGGGACACCACAGGGGTCTACCGCTCTCCCCACTACTCCCTACTGGTTTCTACGGGTCTGTACTGGTTTCTACTGGTCTATACTGGTCCCCACTGGTGTATACCCACCTGACATCCAGCTCAACACCACCACCCCCCCCCAGTGCCTGGATGACGGGGAC